TTAAGAATAAATTGTTAATATTAGCAAAATAATTACTCAAACTAATTACATTTAACTCATGATAAAAACTAATAATATTAAGGCATTACTCAATATTACATATCTATATCATCCTAATATCATTAAAATTACAAAAAACTAATTAATAAAAATAAAACTTGATATGACAATATTAAATATTATATATATATATATATATATCTATATATATCTTATTAAATAACACTTATGCATGGTTGAAGGACTGCTTATGTTTATTAAATATTATATATATATATATATCTTTTAAAATTAGGTTTGGTTTGAATCGTGATTTTTTCATAAAATTCATTAACCGTACCGTTTTTACGGTTCTTAATATTTTTTAAATCGAAACCGAACCGGTTCTTAATAGAATCAAACCAAACCATACAGTTTGGTCTAGTTTGAACGGATGTTTGAACAGTTCTATAAATATTAATACGTTATTAAATTTTTGAAAAAATATCAAATAAATCTTACTTTTTTAATGAAATTTTCACGAAGCCCTATTAATACACGAATCAATTCTTCTAACATAGTGTTAGTAGGACTCAATGAAAATTTCATTTGAAAAATCTAGAAATCCCCTAGATGTTGATTTGTGATTATGTATCAATTTTAAGCAGTGTATAACAATCCCAATCAAACAATCAAAACAAATCGACACAACGATTTTACTTGGAAAAACCACAATTGGACACCTCTAATTGTGATAAAAAATCACGGGCAACAGCCACAAAACAATCCACTAAGGCCATGTTTGTTTGGGCGGACTGGATTAGTATTCCTATGACTAATAGTCCTAGGACTACCAATCCGTTGGATTATGTATCCTATCTTAACTAATAGTCAAGTTTAAAATAATTAATCCGTACTTCAATTATTTAACCAAACATCGGATTAATAATTTTATTGGACTATTAGTCCAATCCCAAGCTCATGTCCACCCAAACAAACATGACCTAAGAAGATATAAAGGAATTACACAGGTATACTCTCAATTATCTAGCGAATCCACGCTCGAATTGAACCAACTTCTATGTGCCTCTTCCAATCCCGTCTTCACCTCGAAATTGTCTTGACGATGAGCCACTTCGGAATCCACCAAAGCTTCAGGCTCGAATTCTTCAGAATCCACCGAAGAACAACTTTCTCTTTTGTGTAGAACAAACAAATATTCCTTTGATGTATACTCTTTAAACCATGAGTTGAATACTCAATCAAAACATCAAAGAAAACTAACAAAATATCCCCAGATATAAACCTTAGAATCCAAAAAGAAAATCTGGAAAGTTCTCCAAGTTTTGGGAGAAAACCAACTACTTATAGGAAACCAAAGTAATCTTAGTTTTGGAAGAAAACCAATTCCTTATAGAAATCCAAGAATCTGTGTTTGCGCAGTCCACTCGAGCGTGGTAATTCCCGCTCGAGCGGAGACTTCAAAATTGTATGATTCATAAAAGCTTCACGCTCGAACGGAAGTTTCCACTCTCGAGTGGATAATCACACCATCCAGTACTTTTTCAGGCGAAACAGAGATGCTGTGAGCTTGCAATCCCCGCTCGAGCGTCACTTTCCCCGCTCGAGCGGGAGGACCAAAATTGGAAAATTTGGAACACTAGATCCTGTAACAACCTCGGTTTTGATCCATGGAAATTGACAAAGGCACGATTCGGGTTGGATTCGCATCTAATAAACTCATAGCCTCACTGAAATAAAAGGTGCGAAAACAAATACAACTGAAAGGAGTTTTGTCAAACGGGGTTGCCAAGAATAAAACCTAGCAAACTTCCCCTTTG